GGTAAGTCTTAGGAAGACGAAGGTCAAGGTCAAATATGGGCCTCCTGGTGGATGACCTTGGTACTGCAGCAGAACTTCTGGTTTTTGTATCTTTTGTCCTGAACATGCTATGGTCTTGATGTTTTGGTGACAGATAGCTTTTCCTGTCAGAAATAAGTGGTGTGAGTTTGGTCCCCCTAGCAGCTTGTTCCGGAAGTGCAGGGCACTTTCTGGCGAAATGTTTAAAAGCCAATAAGTCCAGATAGCAAAAACATATTTCCATCATTTTTGGTAGGTAGGTAGCTGAAAGAGATGTACACGATTGAATTAAATTATGCAAATGAGGAGCTAATTTGCATAATTAATGAGGAAATTCTATAATTACAGTGTTTTACATTATAGTTCTTTCATACATGCAATATATGTAATCTGTGGCAGATAGAACGTCAACAGATACCAATTATGCAAATGATGACCTAATTTTCATAATTATTGCGAAAATTATGTGATTTCTTAATGGTAAATGATGGCAATTCAATACCTTGTGATATGTGTAGGTTACTTAAATGTTAACAACACTATGCATATATTATGTTAATATAGAGTTTATTTGCATAATTAATTAGGAAGTTTAAATGAGGATGTTTAAATGGAATATTGCCAAAGGATAGGAGTTTGACACGCAAAATATTGTAAGTTGAGTTTAGAACACCATAAATTGAAAAAATTAAAACTACATTATATCAATTGCCACCTTATTTCCATATTCAATGAAACAAAACATTTACATAAACTCTACATATTTCATGGAGGTATGAAATCTCAGAATTCTTGTTATATATGTCATCACTAATACATACCGGTGCAATAGCTCAATTGGTTGAGTGCTCGCTTTGTAACCGGGAGGTCGTGAGTTCAAACCCGACCGGGTCATACCAAAGACTTTAAAAATGGTACACACTTCTTTCTCTTGTAAGCACTCTCATATGAGGAGTGTACGTACACTGTGTGGGAAGTTCAAACACACAGCACCAGCTGTCTAGCGGTCTAGCTCCCTGCTGTAGTGTCTTTCACAACTGTGTGTCACCCAAGGGCTACGGAAATGGAGATGGGCAACACCCTAACCTCTGGGTGCTCATAAGAGCACGGGAGACCTTATTCTTCTTCTTCTTATCAGTAATCTTATCGTCATGTTTATCTGCCATACACGTTCCGGCACGGCAAAAGACATCTTTGCCAATTTTTGACATGTTGACCACTGTCAGAGGGCAACAAAATTTCTTGTTTTTTTTTCCAAAACCAGGCGAAACTTAATGCGCGCGCTGATGTCATCCATAAAAATTACTTGCTGTGGCCTAAGTAAAACCTGCACATTCAGTGTAATGGAGGCTTTGAATAAATAAATAAATAAATAAATAAATACCTCAGGCCAAACCAGGTATCCATGTTTTCGTCCGTGACTCTGATCAGGCTGACCAGGAAGTCGTTTGTGGTTCGGTCTTTCGGTGTGGCCAGCCGCCCGCCCATGTTACAGGTGGTCTCCGCATCGTGGTAGGATTTGATTGGATTATTGTTGACCTGGAAGCAAGTTGAACCGAGCAGGTACCATCCCTGATCACAAACTGGGGATCGATAGGGGAAGAAAAAACACATCAGATGGATTGTGACTCCTGACAGCAGCCCAAGATAGGAAGACCTGGCTACACCTCTGCTGCAAAGTCTGCCTTGTCCCCCCCGACGACCAGTGTCGGTCATGGGACTATGTAGGAAGGTAGGAAGACTATAGAACTAATGTACCTCTTGATAGTTCTGATAAGTAAAATCTGCACTATCAGTGTAAACAGTCTAGGCCTAGGGTACGTGAAGAATTCAAAGCAGGTCATTCACAGAACAGTTCCTTTTATTTTGGACCGCACTCCCCACTTTATTTTTACGTTAATTGTTTCTTCTTCTTCTCCGAACACATATAAGGATAATGACATGGACCAAAAGGCTGTCACCACAGCAGACACCCTATGGTATAGGGTTACATTATGTGGCAAGGCAGAGTAGGGGGGACGGTCACCATATATACGTATAATTGTATATGGATGTGTTTGAGTAAGATTAAACACAGCAGTCACTGTACATGTAGTTTGTTGCTTGGGCTATGTGTATGTAAACATTATGCATTTGCGTGTCAAATGTTACCAATCTGGTTAATTCTTTTTGCTCCATTTCTGTTTTGAAAATACGTCGAGTACTGGTCAATACAATGCCGATTGAATTTTTCATAGAACAGTTTACACTATGACAGCATGACTAAGCGTCGAAAGTAACAGTAAGCCTTTTAACTTATCCCAGTAAACACACAAATGTTTACTTGATTCATCAAACACTCTTATGATGTCACACCTCTTGATATATGATGACACTTTTAACAAAGGAATTTTTTTCATGAAAAGGGATTGAAGATTGGCTAAAGCCTTGTTAATCTTTTCCTTCTTTTCATGCTGTTGTGTAGACCATAACCTTTATATACACTCTCATGCATCTCTTCATTAAATTTTCATCTGCAGTGCGAAGTAGGGGGATTTATTGTTTGAAAGCTCACTATTGTCATGACAACCTCACATTTCAATGGAGAATAATGAACACATCGACCATTTGAGGTACCCTCTTGTAGAGCAATACATGTACATTTCCAGGGCTTGAAACACTTTTTTCTGTACATACCTGCACTGAAAATTGAAAGTTTTACCTGCACCAAAAGCAACTAATAAGCGTGCGGTGTATGTACTCAAATTTTGGACCTTAGTAAGGCCATGTTGATTTGATTATATGGATGACATCCTCCGGGAGCCCCAAAACTGATGCGCGCGTGCGAATAAAAAAAAGGTTTTGCAAAAAAAAAGTTCTTTTCATTATGAAATCTACGTGGTCATGAGGGTTGAGCAAATGGCACAGAATATGGTTTGGCGAATAATCTAGTCTTCAAGTTCATTTCTTTACAATTTCGTCTTTTTTCGTTTGATTTTGGCATTCTACGACATTGGTATAGTTTTTATTAATTTTTTTTGTAACTTATGGTATATTTTTGCTCATTTTGCAACTGTTTTGTACGATTTACAGTATGGTTGAAAACTTTTTTTTTTGGAAACGGCCGAAAATTCATGCGCGCGCGGATGTCATCCATATAATCAAATCAACATGGCCTAAGTGAACATAAATGAAAGTAACGTTCCGTCAGTGCCTTATGATTTTTAAAAATCTATTGCGAAACTGAGAGCAAGCGAATTGTGTAAGAATTACACAGCTATATTATTGTTAAATTCTCTGTAGTTGAAAAACAGATAAAGGAAGCCAGAAAACAATAAGAATAACCTATAACAGATTTGCACACTTGGATATGAGGAAAGAATAACCATGGAGATAGAAACGAATAGTAGCTGTATTATATTAAATGTTATCCACCATAATACTGAAGCTATCACTGGACGAAATAGGTTCGGATACACTCGTATCCCGCCCCGTATCTTGCCTTTTTTTCACAAATACGAGCATATACGAGTACGAGCGGATGCGACGGAATGAGGACACTGTGTGTTCCCCCCATTTAACAATCTTTTTGCTATAATGTATTTTAATCTGTAGTATGATACATATGTCTATATGAGACGAAAGCTAGTAGATTAAGAGAATATTGATGGAAGTGATTATTACAAAAGGATCCTTACCGTAGGTGGCAGAAACTTGAGTCTTGTCCTGGTCTTGCGCTATGTTGAAAATAAGTATAAACAAACACAGCTTCGCGCCTCGAACCGTCCCCATCATTCCAAGCATGTTACATCTCCCTGAACCACATAGAATAACTCCGCAAAGTCTCGCGCCTGGCGTCCAGTCTACCGTGGTTCGGACGGGCTCCCTTCGGGCCCGTAGATGCTCCCCGCCGCTCAGTTCACCTTGGCTCTCCGGTAGGTTTTGCACGACGGTGGGTTTTCAATTAGCCCAAACCGTACTGGTGTCGTACGCAAACGGACATACCTCATTAACAATTAATCAAGAAATATGAGAACGTATTGTACGTCTTTGACGCACCACGTGTTTTTCTAAAGTGACACCCATTCATACGTTAACACTGAAATCTGCCTATTCTTCAATTGATATTACACTCCATTTAATGTCCTACTGAAGAACCATAGAAGCTTTCATACTAACAGCAGGCGTGCTGTATATGCATTTTAATTGGAAAGATTACCAAGAAGATGTAGTCACAAAGCCATAAGCGCTCTTCCGTCAACATTTTTCTTGCAACTATTGTGAATGGGGTGATGCGAGGATTTTAGCCAAAGGAGAGAAGAATTGGCCTTTTACAATCCTCGGAAATCCAGACATTGGGGACAACAATATGAAGGGCTGTGCACTGTGTATGAGTATACAGGTTAAGCTGGCCTCTTTTGAGAAAAATAGTCCATTTTGTAAGAAAATCTTCTTCGTGACACAGTTGGCCAAGCGTTGGAAGCCTTCAACAAAAACACCCAATTAATGATCTTATACGTTACATTATACTAGGGAATATCTCCCGCTGCTTTAAAATCTTGTTCTTTATGCAGTTTTCTTCGCAGATGAATAGGCATTGTCCCTTTACGTTTCATTCTTAAGAGACAGTCTAAAGTGTTTTTCTGAACTTAATACCTGCATCATCCTACCTCCATTCATAGATGTTGGCTCATCTTTTGCATAACTGACATGGGTCCATTAGCTTAAGATAGCTTTATGAGCTTATGAAATTCAATGGTCTTTTTTAAAACTCTTTATGAATGGTCTTAGAACTAGTAACTAGAAATGCATGGAGACTGTAGTGCTGCATGGGATACCTTTTCACCCTACAAGGTAGGGTCACTCCATGCTGCAGAAGGAAAACAACTTAAAATTGGAAAAGTAACATTTGCAAAGCAAATACATTATATATATCTTCATAAGATAGAGACATTTCATACTGAAGAAGGAAAACAACTTGAGACTATTTAGACCGGTAACATTTGCAAAGCAAATACACAACATTTACATTCTGATGGTCTAGCCCAAGAAAATACTGTGCTGTTTATTCTTGAACACATGCATATTATGTATGGTGACCAGTTTTCTACACAATGTAATCCAACACTACAGGGTGTCACCAACCATGGTGACAGCCATCTGGTCTGGTTGTCTGTGTAGTGTATAACCAATTATAATTGATTATCGACAACAGCTAAAATCATGTGGCTTCCCTTTGTGATGACTTCGCAATCAGTGATGGTACGAGCTCTATTTTCTTCCTAGGTACAAGTATCTCCAAAAGCTTCCAAAACAAGTAGTTCACAATCACTATGAGCAACACAAACAGCACCCATCCACTGCCGCTGTGGCTGTATCTGTGTATCCTGTCTGCGAGGGTCGAGCCGGGAAGTTCCGCCGTTGCGTCGTACACGATCTCCGTCCGGCGCGCCACGTCCTGCCACGTGTACATCCTCCCGATGCGTTCGTGTCTCTCTCGTGGCGAAACGATCCGTCCTCGTTTTTTGTCCTCCACGGCGTTTTCTAAAGCGATGAGTAACGATTTTACGCTGGGTTCCGCGAGGTAGATGAGCTCGTCGGGTAGGACCTCGGGAACGCCGCCGATCCGCGTGCTGACGACCTGCAGGCCGCACGCCTCCGCCTCCACGATGGCGATACAGAAGGCCTCGGTCAGGGACGTGTTGAGGAAAATGTCCCCCTGTACCAGGACGTCACGGACATCCTCATGATTGACAGATCCCAGCAGCTGTACCCTGTAGTACACACATCAAGTACTGTTACTAGTGTTAGGTCACACTGGCTTAAATTTACGGATGATGTCCTCAAATTTTAAGGAGACCCCCACACTATTGCACGCAGGTGAACAAAAAGCTGCAGGAATACTGGAAAGCTGGTATTGTGAATTTGCGGTAGTACATAGACCCTGTTCATACCAGACTTATATTTAGCGGTTTCAACCGGTTTTTCAAAAACTGGTTTTTATTTAACCTGGTGTGAACGCAAATTAACCGGTTTTTTAGGGGTTTAAATCCGATTTTGAAAAACCACCTCGGGAGGTGGTTTTTGAGGGGTTTTTGTGGTTTTTTTCCACCGAAAAACCTAGTCTGAACGCTAAGGGTTTATTGAACTGGTTTTTGCGTCATAATTCCGGGGTCACGGGGTCTGCATCCTGGCCGTGTGCGACCTGCAAGCTTTTTTGATCGCGTTGTTTTGACCAACTTGAGTTCGTTTCCACTGTTTTTCCATGGTTTCTCTTCATTTTGCGATGGAATCAGCATATGCAACCTGGTCGGCGGACGAGACGCTCCTGATACTTAGGTTTGGAGAGCAGGAGTCGCCGAATTCGAAAAAGTTGGGGGCGAGGGCTCTACCGAAACAAAAATGTTGGAGGAGACTGATTTCTTGAAGATAAAGGATCAGTGCCGCAGTAAGGTAAAAAAAAAAACTGAAGACGGCATACAAGTAAGAAGGCCAAGGACAACAATCGGAAGAGCGGGAGGAACGGTTATTCAAACTGCAGTCATGGCCGATTAATTGGATATTCACCGGACAGGATTTTTTCAAAACCGGTTATCAAAAGTCTGGTATGAACGCTAAGGGTTTTAGCCGGGTTTTTGAAAAACCGGTTGAAACCGCTAAATATAAGTCTGGTATGAACAGGGTCATAGTGACTTTTACGACAAGCCAACATATGATGGCCTTTTGCAGCAGTTCTTGAGTTCCATGGAGCCTCCGTAACCTGGGTGCCATCCTCTAAAGTTACTGCCGACTCCCTATTGTCACTAGCTACCATGGACAACGGAGGATGGCACCCAGGCCAAAGCCTCCTCCTGAATTTTGCCAGTTGCAGACAATATCTTTTCAGACACAACATTTGGAAAGTACAGACGGGATGTTATTAATAACCTTATATACATGAATACGACTTTATATGAGACGTTCTGCCAAAGTGCTATGCACAAAACATTACAGGTTTTGTGCAGGTGCAGTAAGTTCTGCCAACGTGCTTCCTTCCCATGACCTCACCTGTCGTGCAGCTGGTACTGTTCTCGTACCTCCTCCAGCAGGATCCGCTTTGGCCCGTCTCCACCAATCAGGAAGTGGACGTCTGGATGACTTGCACACAGTTCTGAGGTAAAAGATTATGCCTTTATGAAGGAACAGTTACATTACCAACTGGGTAGATTTTGAAAACAGTTACTCAGGCAATGGAATAGATGTTCAAAAATCCTGTTGCTTGAGTAACTGTTACTTTGGTATCTTATTACATGGATGTCTAACCTTCATCAACATATCTGCTATCTTCATATACATAAATGTTACCCAACACCATAGGGTGTCTTGTACAGCACCAGTTGCCATGGTGACAGCCATCTGGCCAGAAATAACTTATTTGTTTACTGGTAATTTGGAATGGAAGAAGAATAGGAAGACGTGAAACAGTGAGAGCAACACAAAAGACATGTTTTGCTTCTGAGAAGGTACCCGGTAAACATAATGACCAGCTTCCACCAGATGATAAATGTTACCTGGGATAATGCCAGCCAGAAGGTCGATGCCCTTCCTGTAGACCAGTCGACTCATGACCACCACTGTGGTCCTGTCTGCCCTCCGCTGGGAAGGGTCAGGAGTGAAGACTGTGGAATCCACAGCGTTGGGGATAACATACACCTTGTGTGGGGCCAGGGCTGCTCGTAACACTGTGTTCTCTTTACCTACATTTGTAAGGATATAGCAAGTGCATAATAAATGATACATGTATCTCGTAGATAAGTAGAATGATTAAGCTTTCTCTGAAATTGCAGAATTTTATATGTGATAATTTTATAGAGTATACCTTAGACACTGTACTTTCAATCATCCATGACAACTAAAAACATATTCTACAGCATGCATGAAGGAAAGACATATGTCAGGGTTGAGACTTGCAATCTGGCAGAATTGGTAAATCAGTGATTCTGATCAGAGTCTCGAAATGAGATCTATGCCCATGGAATCGGTGATTGTACTGACAGAGATCCGGAATATTGAATATTACTTTTCAACTTTGATTTGAAATTCATTTTTGGGCACAACCTAATAAATTGGGTGTACCATATATGAAATAGAATAAGAATAATGTCAAAACAAAAAAACTAATTATGTTTCATTTCTAAAGAAAAGGACTACAAATAATGAACCATACATCTAACATACGTAAACTTACGAAAATATTTGGGTGCACTGGTGCACCCACAGTAGAAAAAAATTGGGTGTACAGCTCCAAGTCCAAATTTGGGTACACTAATATAAGGTGTACATATGCACTCAGTATTTCAAGCCCAGGCATATATACTAGTACTCACTTGTGTGAGAAACACAGATGACATGTTTAACATCTGCAAGGGAGAACTTGAGGATCTTGTTGGTGAGAATGGAGCTCGCGTCGGCGAACCCGAACAGGGAGTGGTCGGTGAAGACCGTGCTGATGCCCATCGTGCAGGCGTGGAACATCGCCTCGTGAGCCAGCGCCGAGAACGCCGAGTGACCGTGAACGATCGTGATCTCCTCTCGGAGTAAAATGTTGCGGATGATGGGGAGTGTGGCGAATAGCGTGGGGAGGATACATTGTTTGTAGGCCACCATGAGGGGGAGGTAGTACACCTTCAGGTTGTTGGTGAGATAGCGGACTCCTGTCCTGTGGCCATACGCATGGGTGATGACAACAACCTGCAAACAAAACAGCAAAACAATGGAAATAGTTAAAATAAAAAAAAGTAAATGCAAAGTGGTATATATGCAAAAAGCAGGAGATTGATTTCAAATAATTTGCATCTATGTGATGCATTTTTAAACAAAAACAGTGATAGCTTGCTTTCTTCTTGTAAAAGAATTTCAATTTATTTATAATTATAACTGTTATATTTTTAAAATTTCTGGCAAGAAAATTCTTGACAAATTTCCTTCAAATCAAAACAATCTCTGAAATTTTGGCAAAACTTAGTCAAACCTCCAATTTTTCCAAGCGGACCAACTCCCCTGGAATGTTATCTGTCTATTTGGCCAATTTCTACTCTTTTTCCAGCCGCTTCCTGAAGCCTGGTAGTGGTAGAGGCTACCCAAGTTGTACATGACAATGTTTGACAACTTGCCTTGTGTCCACGCTGTAACAAACACTGTGAGAGCTGATAGATGTGGCTCTCTACTCCCCCTGTGTTGGGGAAGAAGAAGTCGGACACCATGCACACGTTGTGCACCATCGTTTCTTTATAATACTGTCTCCAAGTTTGTCTCCAAGTGGTTCGCTAACTGTCGTCTGTATGTGCTCTTTCTGTCTTGCTCTTCCTGAACCGCATCAAAACAAACGACAACTGAGATATTGCAGCATAAAATTTCACATTTTACTAAGCATACGAACAATAATACATCATTTTATGATTAATAATAAAAATGGTATTTGTTTAAGTGTACAATGGTACTAAAATAATATCTATACACGTGTTGCATGGATATTTTTCTTTAGCTGCGGTGCGCATGAACTTTCACCTTTCAACATGGCGGCAAATTGCAATTTTTGGTCACATGTGATTCATATTTTGGGTGATTTTGGCTCTCTTTCCGGCTAAATGGTGCTCAAGTGTGTGAAATACGTCTGAAAACATTTGAACTCAATTGTTTAGCTAGTGCGTGTTCTCTCCACCTTGTTGCGTTGGGCGCAAGCAAATACGTATACTGCCATCGCCCCCCTCCCCATTTCAACATGACAGCGGTAGAAGGTAGGCTTTGTTATTTAGGACGCCATTTGTGTACGTATAACTCTCGTTTAAGGTCGTATATGCTTATCTAGGGATGACATCCCGTCTATAGTTATCAAATGTTGTGTCGGGAAAGATATTAAATTCTACAATAGGCAAAAATTCTAATTCCATATTTACCAAAGATTAAAACTGTAAAAGTCAAGGTTTCGCGCAGGTGCAGTATTTTTTTCCCGCAAGTCATGATTAGCCCTACTTGATTGTATACTGTATTTCAGCTCTTAAGTTTTATTAATTAGGATGTTAATTTTCATTTTATACCCTTTTCTTCTTTTTTGCGCACTACATGTAACGTTAAAGTTTGTTCAATAGTCGTAGCCATACATTGTACCATGTACAATTGTCGTGCAATTAAGTTCTTCTTCGTCAAATTTTTATGTTGGCCACCATGTTGTGGTAACATGTAACATCGTTCCTCAGAGCTGACGTCACAACTGGTGGAGGTGGAGTCAGAGATGGAAGCCGTGCGTCTGCAGATGCTGCAGCTGAAGGGGAGGAGGGCGCACCTGATGACACGGAAACAGCAGCTGGAACAGCAGATAGAGCAGCTCCAGGACAGCAAAGCTGCTGTGCTCAGGGAAAAGGACTGGAGCAGGACAGGTCAGCTTTAGCCTTTAGGCCACAGCAAGTAAAATTTTATGGATGACATCCTCTGCAGACTCCAAATCTAATATGATAGAGGAAAAAAAAACAAGACGGGCCAAAAAAATAAGATTCCTACATTTTCAAATTTTGACATTATAAACCTTGTTGAACAAGAAATGATACCTATATTGTGCTACGTTTACTGCCAACTATAACATCCCATATGGCTAAATGTAAGGCCTAGGAAAAAAAAATTGTGTTTCCCTAGAAAAAAACTGCCGACCCTAGCCTTTTTTGGGGTGGCCATGGACATATATTTTTCAAGCTGATCGACCATTTCTATTTCCATGATCTGGCACCTGTGAGTGACGAAACGTTGTACAATCGGTTTTCCAACATTGACATTGAAAAAAATGTGCTCAGCAAGTTTTACTTTGATAAACTGTATTACGTAAGTTGGATCACAAGAGATTGCCAAAGTCCAATAAAAAAAAGAAAAGAAAAAAGACAATCCCTACCTACTGACCCTCACATTTTTCAGGACTGAAACAGGAAACACATTTTTTTCGCCCAGGCCTAATTATTTACTATCATCTATTTACAGATTTTGAATGGTCATCCAAATTGAAAAGTCTGCTTGGGTCTGTCTTCAAGTTGTCAAAGTTCCGTCCGCTGCAGCTTCATGCGATGAACGCCAGCCTGTCTGGATATGACACCGTCCTCATCATGCCTACTGGAGCTGGCAAGAGTCTGTGTTTTCAACTCACAGCACTCGTGTCTGAAGGTAAGTTTGCAAAGACAGTAATACATAGCCCTTTATCAATTGCAAGTATACATTATAACAGCAGCTGTTGCATGCAACATGTGTTATATGTGCACGGGCATTTGATTTTGGCCAGCTGTTCCCAGAAAAAAAAACACAAGAAATTCTGCTTCCTGTAATTATAGCTTATTCCTGCATCTTTGTTCTCAATTACATAGCTACTACTATATAATCCATTTATTTGAGAATCTTCCAGTTTTGCACTGGAGTAAGTTTGGAATAGTCCACTTTTGCGTGGGAGGGAGATGGACTAAAATATGCTGTATTTGTTCCCAAGCAAATGTCAGCCTTTCTAGTTTTTGCTGTTTTATAACG